TATATATATATTTAAATTGTTATTGTTGGATCACTCGCTCTTATGTGTTTATATATAGCATAAAACACTGTCATCAGCAGTCAGTCATCAACAACACCGGTAGCAGTAACAGTAGCAGAAGCGACAACAGTCGGCGAAATTTCTAACAGGGGTTGTGGCGGCAATTATAGGAGCGGTGGTGAAAAAAAAGTTGCTATAGCCAAGTTTCAAATTTTGCAATTTTGAAACGATTTGCTACAGTAAGAAAACTAAAGTCGCGGTTCGAATTTGGCTGATCTCAGCAAAATAATACATCGAAACTTTTCTTTCGAATTTTGTCATTTTTAATTTTTTTTTTTCTTTCTGTCTTTTTACTTTCGTCAGTTAATATTTGATTTTTTGTTTAGAAATATTTTGGTTGAGTACTCATGTTTTTCATCGTTATTTTTACTTATCTTTTATCTGAATAACTGCCGTCAATTACAAATGAAAACAGTTGAACAAGTTCTTTTTCTTTTTTGTGATAAAGTAGTTCCTATATTTATTCTTTTGTTGTTTTTGTTTTCAATATTTATATGTGTACTTAGTGCTTTTTCCGTTTTTTTGTTTTGTAATAGTAACTGTAGTTATAGTTTGTGCATAATTATTGTTGCGGTAACAGTCGCAACTTACAACCATTGCCTGCATTTGTATTTCGTGACATTCAGTATCTTATGTGTTGATTACTTCAAAATATTTAAAATCAGTTGATGCGGTATTTTTTCTCATTTTTTTTGAAATCCTTTTCTTATTTCCCTTTTTGCCTTTTCCGTTTCCACCTATTTCCTTCTTACTGCCTCTGCTATATGATTATAAAAAAAAAATAAAATGAAATAAAATAATGAAAAAAAAAAGAAACAAAAAAAAAGGTTATTTTGCGGTTAACTTTCAATCAAAACATTCCTTAACTGCTTTTTAATGATCTTGTGAGAAGTCAGCGAACAAAAAGTGACGATAATGGCAGCAATAGCAGACAACAAAAAAAAAA